CACACACACACACACACACACACACACACACAATCAATTTTAGGTATGCTTGATTTTCCTCTTTCTCCTATTTTTTCTAAGTGCTTTTTGTGTCTCTAGCCGAGCACCCTCTAGCAGTGCCAAACAGTCGGTGGTTCCTCGTTTGGAGTGCCAACTGGGGGGGCCGCTCGGTTCGGGATGTCTGTGTTGCCTGTCGGTGATGACGGATGGTCGTCGGAGTGTCCCCCTGGCTCAGCGGGTGGTGGGAACCAACAGTCTGCGGGGTTCTATCGTGATGTGAGTAGGTCATGTGCTGCTTTGCTCCGTTTTGGATGTGTAGACTGTCTTGTCTGTGCTCTGCCGCGGTCTTGCTGCCCGTGCCTCGTCCTCGCTGCTCTACTGCCTTGTCACTTATCCGCGGGTCGTGCCTCCTGTGTCTTTTGCTCGCGTGCCGTGTGGTTTGGTAGCCTTGTGGCGGTGCCTTGCGCTTCGTTACACGATTGCTGAGCTGCTTGTCCGTGTGCCCTATCGGCCTTCAATGTCCTTTGCGTGCATGCCTTGTAGTTTGGTTGCCTTGTTGGTGGTGCCTTGTGCTTCACTGCACGGTTGCTGAGCTGCTCGTCTGCTTGCCCTGTTGGCCTTCCGCGTCCTTTACTTGCTTGCGTGCCGTGTAGTCTGGTTGTTCACCGCACAGTCGTCGAGCTGGTCGTCCGCTTGCCCTGTCGTTCCTTGCAGTCGTCTTTGGTGATAAGCAGTTGGGCTGCCTCTACTGTGTTGCCTGGTGCTCCACAGGGTTGTTGCCCGCTGCTATGTCCCGCTTGGGGACGGTCTGCCTTCAACATGGGTCAAAGGGTTCATGAACCAAACCATCAAATACGGGGATTCCGCAAATTGTCGAGGGTTCAGCCTCCTGATGAGTCGGTGCAATTCCGACGAAACAATCTTGTCATCATCAGTTTTTAATTTTTGTTTTTATTTTTTTCGGTCTTCGCTGTTTTTTGGGGACTTGAATTTTTTTTGCTTTGCCTCTTTCTGTGTTTGAGTGACGTCTGCCCTCCCGCCTCCCCCGTCCCTTCCACCCATTGTCCTTTGATGTTGCCTGATGTCTTATGCTTGGGGTATCTTTGTGTACTTGCACTTTTCTTTTGTCGTTCCTTGTTTTGTGCAGTTATGTATGGTCTGCCCTCCCACCTCCCCCGTGCCCCCCCGTCCTTGCGCCCTGCTGCAGTCTGTTGTCGTTGCCTCCTTGCCTTTTGCCTTATTGTGCTTCCTTTCCCCATCCTGTGGTGTTTGTTTGATTGTGTGTGTTTCAGTTCATTCCGTCTGCACCACGCCTACAAGTTCTTGTGCCCAAGCTTGCTCGTGTAGTCCGGCATAGTCATTCCCCACCTCCGAGAGCCGGATGTGTCTGCACCACGCCTACAAGTTTTCATTCTTAAGGTGTGCCGATATATTATTTCGGAGCTTGAGTATGATGCGGTTCCCGTATCATACCGTAATCATGTCTTATTATGCGGGTTACACACACACACACACACACACACACACACACACACACACACACACACACACACAC